AATGAATATTTGAAGCAGAATGTTCTGCCTTGTCTTCTCTTTTTTACCGTCCTTGTTGATCCTAGACTCCTTGCAGTCAGAACAACTGATTTTCATGTAACCTATTTATACAGGGATCTATAAATAGAAGTTTTGTTTAATTACTTATATTGCACATTACATGTGCACTAGAAACGTTCAAATATGTTTAATTTTATATAACACAATATACTGTAGATGACAGTACTTAAATTCCTTACTTGCTACTAAGTATTTTTAATTGATAAAGCTTCAGTTAAAAATTTTATTTATGTTGTGGTAGTTTGCATAATACTGTGAGATTTCTAAAGAGAAACAGAGTTAATTTAGTTTCTGCATAATTTCAGTCTGGCCAAATTAATTTGATTCAATAACAGCAACATTCAGGATGCAGTTGGATTCAATCAAATCATAATAAAGTCAAACGGTCAGATTAATTTGATCATAAAATCTCAGTTTGTAAAAAGCTGCACCCCTAAGAAAACCTACCGGTTCCATCTATTCTTAATGGCCAGCCCTTCTGCAGGTATCAAAGTGTGCCAAGTTTGATACATAATGAAGGCACTTTCGCGACCCTTTCAAATGTTCAGTGTACTATACCCACTGGTCACAGCTTTAATAAGACTGGAGAGAAGAGCTGGAATCAATATTCTTTTATCCACCTGGTATTGAGTATTGCTTGTTGGCTTGTTGAGGAAAAAAGTTCTGCTTTTCCTTTGTCTACGAGAAGAACACCTTCAGCTGTTTCAAAATATTTCTAGCTATGAAATATGTAATTCCTTTTCACTTAAGCTAACACGGTTTTAAAACCTCAAAAGCTATAAGAAGGTTGTCTGTAAAGCAGCCGAAAGCTCAACTAATTAGTAAGATTAGGTAATTTCCTCTTTTTAGTCTCGCTAGAGCAGAAAGGATAAAAATAATTTCTGCACGATTAGTGGTGAAAACTTCCACTTAAATAAAGAAAGCATGGCTAGTAATATTTCTTTACCCTCGTTATGAGCAAAACTATGGCAAGAATCGAATAAAAAAGCTTTTAACTGGAAGAAACATCCAGAGGAACCCAGCCAACTGTGCCAGAGTGGCTGGGAATTGAAAACTGGATAAAAGATGCCCAGTACATTTTAACAGCATGAGCTGATTGGACCTATTCTCCCTCCTGCAGTTAAACCAACCAGCGTGTCTTCCTACCTCCCATCTACTGCTTATCTTCCAACTTTTCGAGTCTACTGACAAAACCACAAAGATACTATTTTTTTTGTTGTTGTTGTGATTGTGATTATTATGGAAATTGAAAGATATAGAATTTATACTTGTGTCTGGTTCTGAATGACACACAGATTGGGCTTCAGCCAGGGTAGGTAGGGACCTCTGTTTTAACCTTTACAACTGAAAGTCCAATGCAGCATAAAATCCTTTAAAAAACAGCTACTAAACTAAATAAAAAAAAGATTTGCTGCTTGATAAACATTTATAAATAAAATCCTACCATATAAAGCCAAAACTAATAAGACTTTTGTCAACTACACTAGTTTCAGACCTCTGCCCTTTCGCCAAACATAATTTGCAATCTTATTGTAGTTTAGGGAAGACATGTTGGACAGTTAGGGGGACGATCTATAACAAAACTCTCAAATCTGGGGCTAAAAGGTCATCAGTCATTCATGAATAACCTGAATCTAAAGTAATCCTAATCCCAAATGAGTTTATTTACAGGTTCAATAGCTGTGTTTTGTGAAGACTTTTTTCCATTTATTTTAAAATAATGCAAAAGTATTAATAGAACTAATTCCAAGGTTCACTTAGGAAGTGTGACAGTTAATATTTTAGTTAATGAAAGCAGTGTCAGCTTGTAAATTATATTCATCAGGCTAATTTCCACTCCAGTGTTTAGTCATGCCATTCTATTATAGTATAGATAACAAAAGCACAGCCATGTTGATTAATGCACTAAACCATGATGAATGGAGGCCTTCACTCTGGGCCATTTCTGTACTTGTATTATCAGCAGATGCCACTGACAGAATGGAACCTGATCCTGTCGCTTATGACATGTTTTCCACCATTTGGCATGGCGGCAGCATATCAGCAAAGACAGACATGGGTTTTTAAAAGGCCTGACATGATTTAGGTTCGGACAAAGCAAAGAACCAATGCAAGAATAACCTCACCTGAAGCTTTGAACAAACTGTTTGTATTTTGGAGACGGATGAGTAGAAAATTATACTTATTCTTCAAAGGTTTCTCAAATGAGGCAAGCAAGAGAAAGAAAGCATGCAGAGATTAGCATTGTTTTAATCTTTCAATGAAAAGATGGCACCCAGGCTTACAGTAATTGTTTGTGCATATTTTCTCCTCCTCCCACCTCCTCTGTCCCTCTTCAACACTCCCCCACTCCTTTCTGCAACTCGCTCAGCTCGTCTTCTAAGACTGTAATCACTGGGCTCACACGTCACTGTCACTCTTCTGTACCCATGGAAATGTGTATGCCTGTGTTTTTTCCAAGCTATTTCTGTCCCAGAATGTACTATACTGTTTCCAGCAACGCTGTGTTTATTTTCATCAATTGTTTGAGTGTTGGCGTTTTACGTTGATCCACTTCTTTATGCGTTTTTCTGCCTGTGGGCATATTTGATATACGGGTCTGTCTGCGTCAATCTTTGTCCAGTCTCGACAAGAAACTTAAAGGATTTCATCTCTGAACCAAGAAATGCTTCAAGTTGAGACAAGCCGTAATCTGTGAACGCCATCTGATTTCATCACAAAAACAGCAAAAAGTATGACAGATGCCCCACGCTCACAGAGGTCATACAATGTGTGCATTAGATCTCTTTTTCGAGTAACAAAATTAAGCCCAATCTAAGTTGAAAGCAGTGTTGTATTGGTTTGATATTCACTCTGAGTGTTTGAAAATGTAAAATAAGCACAGCTGCTAATTCCAGCCTTACTTTTACAACCGCTGGGTCCGTTCACCTCTTAGCCACTAAGGACTGCAGTCTGAGCCAAGCCTTTTCGCAGTTTGTTTCATTAAAAGTATAATGGAGGATGCTGTTTTTCAGGGCGGATCATCTAAATGAGTGGTCCTCCTTATTGTCAATCATTCTGGTGATATGTTTACATAAGGCCGTCCTATGTGCTTGTCCCCATTTTCACTTACTGGTGGTGAGTCTGACATAGTGGAAAAAATGCCACATCATTTTTTAAAAGTAAGCTTGTATAAGCGATGCAGACAGCAACTTTTAAACAGAGTGTGCACGAGGAGAATTGGGCTTGTGCACGCTCTCACAATCGCTTGATAGGCGTTCCCTCTAGGGAAGGGTTAGAGGGTTGTGCATGTGCATTTTTTTTTTTTTTTTTTTTTTAGTGGAGAGCGCAGGGCTTTTCAAAAATTTGCAAAAAAATCCATAACTATACCATTAAGGAAGGTCAAACCCAAGCTAATGTTTCACTGTGATCAAATATTTATTCATGAGTTAGTAACCCTCATTTTGTTGGTGGAAACAAAACAAAAGATTTAAGATGTTTTTAAGGAATTTAGACTGTAATTAACATCTGCCGGTTAAGGTCTAAAATTCAGCACCATTCTACATGGGGTAATTATATGAAGAACTAGGGCTGCAACAAAGGATTTTTTTGCAAATTGATTAATCTGTGGATAATCTTTTCGATTAACTGATTAATAATCAGATAGCAAAAGGTTCCTGAAGAAAACTTTTTGTCAAATTAAACCAGGTGAACCTGAAAGTTTTCCACTTGATGAGTTCTGGATAGAGGAGATTGACTGATGATATTTCCTTTTTATCTTAAAGATATAAGGAATGATCTTTTATTTCCTGGTGGATCATCTAAATAAGTGGTCCTCCTAATTGTCAATCATTCTGGTGATGTGTTTACGTAAGGCCGTCCTACGTGCTCGTCCTTTTAGCTTTCTTTTTCTGCCCATGCGTACTTACAGGTGTATATCTGTGGTGAGCTACGGTTTCAGACAGTCATTGAAGCTCACCTTTCTCACCGCGGTTCTTTGAAAATGATCGAGGGTCGTAAGAGGAAAAGCGTCTACTTTACATTAATTTATGCCATTTGCTGTCACAGCAATCACAAAGATGGTGCAGGCCCCACGCAGTGAAGTAGGAATTATGTGACCAACGGAGCACAAAGCAGTGATCATCTGTCAGAACAGTCAGTTAACCGAGATTGCTATAAAGTCCACTATATAGTCCCCGCTCTATTTAGTGATTTAGGGATTAGGGCGGACGTTCGGACAGAATACGCTCGTATGAGCTATGAGAACAGCAACTTTTAAACAGAGCGTGCACGAGGAGAAATAGGCTTGTGCACGCTCTTGCACATTTTTAAAATGGAGAGGGTGTTTTTTTTTTTTTTTTATCTTGAAAATCCTCCACAGTATCTTTAAATGCAAAATGTTTATATATATTTTTTTTTACAATCCTGGTATAATTACTGCTCTAAGTGGGTTGCTCTATCAGCTAAATTCATGTTTGACAGTCTCCATACTACAGTTAGCGATAAATCATTTACTAAATTAGTTGATGTTAATATAGATAATCGATTAATCATAATTTGATTAACGTTTCAGCCTTCTAAAGAACAGAGTTATTACAGCATAGTTGGAAATCTAGATCTGATTTGTAAAAACATAAAATAGAAGGGTTCATATCTTCTTTTTGCTTTAGAGACACTTTTTAGTGGTATCTTGATTTAGTGATTTGATTTTAATTTGCCGGAGGGTGTTACTCCACTTTTAGACTTTACAGTAGCAACACGTTGAGAGAAATTTCAGCATACAAACTAAATATGCAGTCCTTTTCCCTCTCATGCATAACATATTATTTCAGTATTTATTTCTACAGTAAATACTATAGATTTTGATGTTATAGTGTGAGGTTCTGCTCATGTTGACAGCAGTCAGATTAAGAACGAAGCCGTTTCTGTTTTTTTATCTGGTTTCATGTGTTTCTTTGCAGATCACCAGAAGCTGGAGCGAGAGGCTCGGATCTGTCGCCTTCTGAAACATCCCAACATCGGTGAGGAATTCTCTCCATTCCCTCTAATCACCAACACAGCCAAATATGCAATAATCTAGAACCACTGCTAAGTGGACCTTTTTTGTTGCCTTGGTTTTACACTACCTGGTTCCTTCTTTTAAATAATATCTCATTGATGCAGAGGATGTATTCATGTGATTTACTCCACTAACAGCCATATTTATGTTAAATTGTATGCATTTTGAGGAAATCTAATACCATAACACATCCCGCTGTTGCTTAAAGGTAGATTCAGTTGCAGAACCTCCTACTATATGGTTAGTATTTGATGTTAGACTCTATTATTATGACTCCCCGTGGTTTCGTTCCCTCACACACACTCCCTGCTGTTTTTTTACTCTCCTTTAATCTCTCACTTGAAATGCTGCGCTGATACTTTGTTATTCAAAGGTAGTTTGTTAAACACTGAATCATCTTTATGTGGAATTTATCGCACGGCATATACAATTAAAATGACTCCACTAAACGTTTATCTCTCAATCTCTTCCTCTTTCTCTTCCAGTTCGTCTTCATGACAGTATATCAGAGGAGGGCTTCCACTACCTCCTTTTTGACTTGTAAGTCCTCCTTTCTCTTTCCTCCTTTTTTCCACACACACTCATCTGCCTCTTCCTCCTTTTCCTCGGTCCCTGCACCCTCTGTGCATATACCATTGCATAACCCTCTCCTATATTTACCCCATCTCTGTCTCCGCTGCCACCCACACCCTCCGCATCCATCTCAACAATTCCCTCTAGTTTCCATAGCAACAGTGTGGGAGGGGGGGTAGCGGCAGGGAGTTTTAGGGGGAAAGAGGGTGAGCAAAGAGGAAACAAAAATTGGTGATGAAATCCTTGTTTTAGATTTCTTCATTGTTCTTTCTTTTTGCAGTGAAATGATAAAAAATCGTCGAATAAATGAACGTGTTTGTATTCTTAAAGGGTGACCGGAGGTGAACTGTTTGAGGACATTGTTGCCAGAGAGTATTACAGCGAGGCAGACGCCAGGTAGGAGCGCTGCCTTTGAACGTCTCTGTGTGAGACGGGGTCTCTCCTCGTCAGCAAAATGTCTTGTCACTTTTGTTGTGGTCTCTTGTCTATCGTTTTTTACACACCTCTTTATACCTTTATCTTCTTTTCCTCAACTTTCTACTCTGTTGTCTCTTCTCTCCTGGTTTTTAGCTTTATAAATAATTTCTGTGCGTTACTATCTGCTTATTATTCCATTTTTTTAAAGCCAGCTCTTCTCAGTTTCTTTCTTCTATTATGTTTTTCTTTTTTCAATTTTATATCCAGTTTCTTTAATATCAAACTTTTCTCCCCACAAGAGTATTTGTTCTCCCTGACCAGTGCATCACATTTTGTCACATCGCAAAAACTCAAACACAAAAAAATAGAGTGTATTTAATTGTGGATTTATGTGATAGGCCAACACAAAGTAGTGCCTAATATTAAGTGTAAGAGAATAAATACTTGTTTGTTGTTGTTTTACAGATAAAAACAGTGTATTTGCATTCAGCTCCCTGAGTTTATCCTTGTAGAACATAAATTTGCTGCAATTACAGCTGAAAGTCCTTTAACCATTTATCTCTACCAGCTTTTTAACTTAGAAATAGATATTTTTTCTTGTTTTTTAAGGAAAAGTCGTATTAATAGAAAGGTTAACATGTATCCAGTCCCTCTAATAGATTCTTCTATGATCTCTCTGTTAAAGAGAATCATCCCATTAGCATGACTCTGCCATAACCATGTTTCAATATGGTACTGGTGTTTGGAAAAGGTTAAGCTGAGGCACCTTTTCTGAGATCATTCAGTTATTTTCGCTTCCAACAAACATTTTCTTCTTACTATTCTTTCAAAAAAAAGGTGGACAGATGGTCCTGATAATGGTGATGAAGTTTAATATTAATAATCTCCTACAGACTTCTGATGTCTTTACATAATGCCATGCAGACAAATCCTTTTTACAAATAATATAAAGGTAATTGGTTGCACTGGAATTTATTTAGAGGCATCCAAGTAAAGGAGGCTGACAACTATTTTGAAAACCATGTCTTAATTCTTCTGTTTTTTAGTCATGCACTATGTTATGTTGGTCCCATAAAATCCATTTAAGTTTGTTGCATTAACACAGCAAATTTAAAAAAAATGAGACAAAAGATTATTTGTTGCCAGCTAGCCTTTCTGTTTTCTTTTTTTGTGCCACGATTCTTTCCCTTTCCCTTTCTCTCTCTATTGCATAATTTATCCTCCTCCATCACTCTGACACAGCCATCATCTTTAAGACCAGTCTGAGGTTTGACCATTTCAAAATCACACCAGCTCTTCTTTTTTTTTTCTTAAACTATTAAAATTTCCACCCGTAGTTTACTGATGGATTTTGGATTTCCCTATAAAAGTAGTTCGTTTCCACTAATCAACACCAGGGCTTTATTTATATATTGGCTAAAAATAAATAAAACCACTACATATTTGTCCAATTTTTATTTTGATGATTTTGAATCTATATTAAACCAGATTCCTCATCCTCTATTAAGTCTTTCTTTTAAAAACTTGAAGGTTCAGTTTGCTCAGCTAAAGCCGTCACATCCTCCTCCATCATTCTTCTCCTTCTCTTCACACAGTGGAAAATATGAAAACAATGTCAGTGAATATGAAGTGTGAACTTTGGTGACAGTTTGGCTTTCTCTCTTTCTTTTTTCATTTGGTTTTGTTCTTTTTTTTTCACCCTTTTACCACCGACTGAGCAGTTTTATATCTAACGCCCACCGCCCCCTGCTGACTCACCACCACACACGGTTCACTTGAACCATCGGCGGAAGAGGAAACAGAGTAGCGCAGTGGTGGGGGTGGTGGACAGACAAGAGGCTGAGAGAAGAATGAGAGAGATACTTGAAACTGACAGTTGTGAGTGTGGGTGTCAGTCCATTCAGCAACAAAGTCAAACGGAGTTGCCTTGTTTTTATCGTTAAAATCACTCCAGTATGTGGCCATAAATGGTCCTTTTTTTTTCTTCAACTCCAGTCTCCACTTTAAACCTAAAACATAAATTTCTGATTCTGTTCGACTTTGACTCGGCATAAAAATGTTTTGTTTTAATTACTAAGGCATCTAAATAACTGGCACTCTTTAAAAAACAGTGTTATTTTAAGTCTTGTAGGTCTCGGTTGCACAAATAGACTAATTCACACAAATCTGGCCAAACTAACACATAGCATCAACGTCTAATGCAGGGGTGCCCAAACTTTTTTAAACCAAGATCTACTTTTGAAGTTGATGGCAATGCCGAGATCTACCAAGCCAAACACAAGGGATGGGCAGTATTTGTTTTTTATCCGCACAGGTGGAGAATAAACAGTAAGTCCAACAAACGAGGAAATTATCATTTGTGTCAAGAAATAGGTTGCAAAAACAGAACTTAACAATCTCATAAGAACACTCACTCATCAGACTCACCAAAACTACAGAAAAGAGCAGTCAAGATCTCCAGACAAAGGCTGTGCAGTCAAAAATCTAAATAAACCAGTTGATACACACCCGCAGTAGAGATGAAAGAAAAAAAAAAACATTAGAACTGTAAATTGTTGATGAAAATTGATTAAATTGTCCAGGGAGCTGTTCCAAACAAACTTTTTTTTTGTTTTCCACTTGTGTAAACAAAATGACAAATAAAATCTGTCTAAGATCACTTCAAAGCAGGAAGAAGGAGAAGGGAAGTCCCCTATTTCAGAATGATAAACATCACTGGGCATTGGCATTGGCAGAGAAACTGGCAGAGGGATTAAAATTCAACAGGAAAACGGATAAAAATAGGAAAATACTAAGTACAAACTATGTGGATGTGAAGATGTAACATACAGCAGAATCGGTTGTTGACTGTTTCAGAGACTCTTTAATTTCTGGCAAAAGCTCCAAAAATCTTTCTAAGATTTGCCATGGCTCAGCCTCCTGACGTCGGTGTGCAGCAGCAGATCAGTATGGTCTGCACCTGCCTCCTCGAGCAGTGCGCCCAACCATAGATGGAGCCCCATCAGTTGTGATAGATGTCATTATCTCATCATCTCTTCAGATTCTTCTTCGCGCTTTAGAGTCCCTGGTAACAACCTAGCAACCGTTGCAAACCATGCCCAGCAATCAGTATGCATAAAAAAAGGTTCCCTGCATACTTTTTATTTTCCATTTTATAATAATGAAAATACACATTGGCCTCTTGTGATGAATGATTTGATTAGTGTTTTTTTTAAGACTTTTTTTTGTCAAAGCCATAAATAAGTCTACATTGTAAAACTTTTCGCGATCAACTGAAACTCAGCCCACGATCGACTGAAACTCCGCCCACGATCGAATGGTAGACAGTGATCGACTGGTTGGGCACCCCTGGTCTAATACTTTTCATATACTAGAAAGATTAACATACTAAAAAAAGATTGATTGGGGGAAGATTTGAGAAAATTTTCTATTACTTTTTAATTCACATCAATCCGTAACAAGAAATAAAACAAAATACCTAATTTTTCCTTCTTCATTTTAACCCCTTAAGCTCAGACTACAGCTTTATGTTTTATGTGGGGTGGGGTCTCCATCATTGGTCTTTAATGCTTTCAGAAAAATCACTGTACTGTAATACTCAGTTCTTTAATAGGTTTAAAAAAGTAAGTTGTAATGTTCAGCTTGGTGACTTCTAAACATTTTAATGGTTTAATAAGATTTTTTCTACTGCATCTTAACCATTTTATATGCAAAGTTTAATCCAAGCTACTGCTATAACGTACTAAGACGAGAGAGGAAAGTTAATCTCTTCTTTTATCTGTTAGCCACCAAAAAGCATTAAGAATTTAATCAGGGCAGATGCGACCTGCTTTGTTTCCAGACTGGGAACCTGATTAGCGCCTAGGATCGATTTAATGTAATTTCTGTAGCTTCAAGAGTAAAGAATAGTTTTATTATTCAGCAGTTTAGGATAGTTTTATTGGGTGAGCTGCTGGTGTGTTTCCAGCAGCACCAACAGATGCCTGAGAAGCTCATAAATCACCCACAGCCAAAAGGTCATGTTCAACAGTGTTCAGTAATTTGTTACCTTTATTGAAAACAAACCCATTTTATACTGGAGAAAATAATACAACACTATTGGGCCTAAAAGGTTAAATGTCAGGATTCATTTTTCTAAAGACCGTGGATAAGGGGTTGCCATTTCAAACACTTAATCTGATGTGCCTTCTGCTGTTGACTTAACATGGAAGATTTCATTTTTCAAAAACCTGTCTAGACTCATATGTGGGTTTTATAAATAGCTTAGGATTTACATACCACGTCACCACTTCGTTGTAGTGATGCCCACAGAATTTGCAACAGGGATGAACTGATAGGATTAATGATGCACCCCAAAACAAACAAAAACCTGTAACAACGCTTCTCCCGGTTGCTGCAGATGTTGTGTTGCGTGTGGGAAACTTGACCCTTGTGAAGCCCATATGGACCTTTTTTTTTATTTTTTATAACATATATATATAAAAAAATTGTTTCACTAAACAAATGCTGGAGGCATTGTATACCAGTGTTAGTTGTTTTAGACCTTATTTATGTTGTTTATGATGCAAACAGAAACTGAAATCCTTTTTTTTTTTTTTTTTTTTTTACCACAAACTTAGCCAATAAACTCACCCCTGTATGCCTTTTTCAGTCACTGAAGATACAGTAACAGGGGAGTGTTGGCCTAGTGGTTAGAGCAGTGCTCTGGTGCTCAGAGAAGGTTGCAATATCCGGTTCAATCCCCACAGCCTGCTCTCTGGGTCCCTGCGTGTAACCCTTAACCCCACACTGCTTCCCAAGGGGATGGGTTAAATGCAGAGAGTTAATTTCTCCAGTGTCAGATCAATAAAGTTAAAATTATAGAAATAATTATTATTATCAATTAAAACTATTAATAATACTGCATTTAACCACACTACTCCACTTGAACCTTCTGCACCATTTGCTGTTAGTACAGGCCGGGCTGTGCGCGGGCCTTT